AAGACTGTCAGAGGGAGGGAAACAGGCAAAGAAACAAGGAAACTCAACTGTTAGTACGTTTTACTAATGTATAATAAATACAGTAAAATAAACAGTAGAAGTAACGGGTGTTGCCAACACTTATAGTCACAGATGTAACAGAAACACTCTTTTTCCGCGATCATTCAATATAGAGCTGTACCTTCTTGGATGTCTGGTTGATACTGGTTGTGGTAATAGCCTCCATACCTGCCACCAAGTTTTGTTACACAGGATCACGGAGTCAGAAATGGGGGCGAGCGAGGGAAAGAATTCAGTATCTGTCCTCTGTGGACACAGCTGTAGCGCCCTTCTACCACAACTCATTGTAATATTCGTGATTCTTGGCATTCTTCCCTTGACTTAATTGTTTTCCTCACGTACATGTGTCCACTGACAGAGGACAAATAGGGGCAAAGTGATATTAAGGCTGATTCCTGATTATCTGGTGCCCGCCTTTCCCTTCACCTCTCTCCTCCACACACCACATGGAGTTCCAAGTGTTGGCATTGCATTTTTTTCTCTACTTACTCAGCAGCATGCTGACACCTCTACCCTCTAGGATCTGCTGCCAGTTTACAAATGTGAACTCTTAGCCACAGGCTCCCAAGAGACAAATCGCTCAACGTTAATAAGTAACTGATCATGTGTGATTAAATTTTTAATCGGTACCAGCCCTTGTTTCTATAGAACTGTTACCAAGTTCAAAGTCCATGTATATAATAAAACAGATATACATAGACCTTTACTATTTTTACTATTTGCAAAAGTAAACTGTACTCAGATATGCTCTCAAACGGTTTTCCTACTCGACAGTAATTTAATTTAATTCAGACCATGTCCAGAACTTGTTTTCCTTCAGTAAAATTACCAATCTTTCTTTTTTTGTTCTCTCAAAAAGGTTATGTTTACCTAAATGATCCAACATGTAAGACCAAATAGGGGATCAGTTTAGGCATCCTGTCACATAGGACTAAGGCTTACAACGAGGGCACCAAATTCATATCCAAGGTTAATACAGAAACAACTCTGGGAGGTTTTTGTTATACTTCTAACCTGCCATAATAATACGAAAATACTGCCAGTAACATCACAACTAATTTTAAAGAATTTTACACTAATAGAACCAGTTCATAAAACTTTCATAACTGCTGTACAGTGTTATCAGCTATGAAGTCTGTTACATACCCTTAGATAATGTCAGCTCTTAATCCAGGATTGCTCTTAAATCCACAAAGGCATCAGATTTAGCCTGTATCCCAACTCTGCCTTTAATGTGGGAGTTATAAATTAAGAAGTGATGCACTGCTAGAAGCGCAATCATGAGTTATGAAATGTCGCTCTGTAGCTGTGAGACTGGAAGCAGCTTGCTTGTACTCCTACATCAGTGACGATTTCACAAATTGGAGGCAGGATGTTGTTCTCCTTAGCTCTGGCTGCATCTGAGAGAGGGAGTTTATGTTGTTAAAAATAAAGATGGCAGTAACAGCTGCAGGACCCGAATCTGACAGGTTTTACTACTGCCAAAATATTTTGCTAAAGAAGTCTGTCTAATTCTAACCTAGCACTTTCTGGACAGACACTTCTGGACAGCACTTCTGGACAGTCTGAGACTAAAAAATACTATCTTCTGTCTGTCTGTCCTGGCCCTGTAGGATTAATTAACAGCCACTAATCTTAATGCAGGGCTAACCCTGGACAGATATCATAAACTCAGAAATTTGTAACTTTTGGGACCCTATAGAAAATACAGATATTCTTCTGATTGTGAAAGGAGTTGAAGAGAAGGTACGACCTCGAGAAGAGAAAGCCTATGTTGAAAAAACTCAGATATCCCCTAATTTGGGGTACAGAAGCTGAGTTTGAATGTGTGAGAGAAAGATACCTCTCAGGTAATAATGCTTCAAAATTTCATATATACAATTGTATAAACAATTGACAAACAATTCCTAAGATTCTGACACCAGCCTGTAGAAAATTCACCATAATTCTAGAGCTCAGTGATACTTTATTCAATCAGATGTGATATCTGAACTTTGTAATGACTTTTCAGACCTTTTACGGGTCCATCGCTATTTATACTTAGTGAAATTTTCTGAAGAGACATTTTCAGGGACTTGTAATGAAAAAATCTTCATGAAATTCAAGAACGTTCACTGTCCTGACATTTAAGCCATTACACAATCAGAACGTACTTTCCTTAATTCTAGCACTTTGAAGACAGTTAGACCATTCTAAAGGCTGAAACCAGTTATCTTAATTCACGCAAACCAACCTTACTTACAAGCATCATCCTCATATCACTTACTTCATGGGCTAGTCGGCATGTACAGGTCTTTAACTTTTGGACCTTTCTCACATTGCCCTCCCTCAGTGCGCATTAAGCCTGTAGACAGGGTAAGTCAAGTTGATTACTAACCCGCCACCTCCCTCCAGAAACAAAAAAGCATACTTCAGGAAAGTAAAACAATATTCAAGCTCAAGACTTGCAACATAATGAAACTGTGTGTGATAGCCTACACATTATACCCAGTAGTGGCATTTACAATTCTCCAAGACAGAAAAGCAATTCTCTTTCTCCCTCACCAACACTTGGGAGGCCCAGCTGAACAAAAGCAGTTACAAAACTAAATCACTGTAGTGGGCACTTGCTGTTTTTGGTTTGTATATTACTAGGTATAACTTCTCCTCCAGTAAAATTCAAATAACTTTAAGGTCATCTAGAGTACTACGAAGAAGAAGACAGACTTTTTAGGATGGAGGTCCCATGAAAAGAAACTCTTTTGAGTTCTAGAGGACACCACAGGTCTGATGTGATTCCCGAGCTGCAGACTCCCTAGAACTGAAGTGACTCAAGGAGGGAACAAATCTCCTAAATATAGGCAGATGCAAAGTTATACATGTAGGAAGATTTAATTTAAATGCCCCTTACAGGACAGACAACCAGCTTCTGAGAAAACCCTGGCTCACAAGGAAATGCAAGGATCACTGCCTGTAACTAACGGAACAGCAGTTCCCACTGTGTAGTCGTGGGAAAGAAAAGTTTGTACCGCTGGGTGAATAGACAAGGGAATACTGAGCACGAGGTTATTATCTCCACACGTGACATTAACAAGAGCCTTCCTGGAATCCACAGTGCAGTGCCCGGTGGCCAGCAAGGACAGTGGTGGGGGCTCAGAGAAGACCAGCCCACACGTTTCTCCTGGGGAGCATCTGCATTCCAGGGAGAGACCAAAGGAGTCAGGTCTATTTATCTCAGAGACAACGTTAAGTAGCTATTTAATTACTGCCCTTAAACACTTGAGCAGACAGATCATCTGAAACTAGATAGCTATTTAATCTGACAGACAAGACAAGATCCAGTAGCAAGAAGACGAAGTCAGAAAAGTTCAAAGTAGAAAAGAGATGCAAACGTTTAACAAAGAGATTAACAATTGGAGCCAATTATCCAGGAATGCAGTCAATTCCCATCGTTGGAAATCATTAAATCAAAACTGTTTAAAGAGGCTGGTGGGCCAGACCTTGGAATCACTGGGGAATAGCCTTTATAGTGGTTTATATTATGGAAGAGGTCAGAATATGGGATCATAATAATTCCTTATGAGTCTAATAAATCCACCACCAGCATCGTTATCTTCCTTGAGAGAAAAAGGAAGAATTAATGAATAAAGCATTAATGAAGCCACGGCCTTTATGGGGTACAAAACCCAGGCCGAACGAGGAAAACACAAGCCACAGACCAGGAGCCGGCAAGACCATCAGTAGTTTTGTCACCAACTTCAGCAAGAAAAGGCCCGTGAAGGATCCGATCCCAGCCACAAGGCCCCGATGCAGGCGGGCGGCAAGGCTCTCACACTGGGGACATCACCCGGCCAGCGCTCCTGGTGTGATGATACTTGACGGCGACATCCCAGCTCGGACCATCCTGCCCCTCCCGGCCCGGTGCCCCCACAGCCCCTTGGGGAACCCTGGGCCAAGCAGACCCCCGCACCGCTGCGTCCACCCGACTTCGCCCCGGGGAGGGCCCCAGGGACGCCCCCTCGCCGGGCAGCAGAAGGCGGGGGGCTGGGGTTGCCTCCGGGGCACCTTCCGCGCTGCGACACGGCGGGCACGTTGCCGTGGCGACGGCGCCGCGCATCCCCCCGTCCCGTCCCGACGGTGGTGGGGGGGCGCCTGATCATTTTCCCTTTCTTCTTTTTTATTTTTTTTTCCCCCCTTAAGTTTTCCGCGCTCCCAGAGACCACGAGGGAGCCAAAGCCGCTTCCAAGCGCCGGAAGAAACGAGTAGAGGCAGAAAGAGGCGCCCTCGGGGCTGGCCCGGTCCGACCACCGCCCACCCGCTGGAGAGCGGGGCACAGCCCGGCCCCTCGGGATGCGCTGCCCGGGCACAGCTCGGTCCGCCCGGCACCCTGCGGCGAGCAGGGCGGGGCACCCCCCCCGCCTCGCCCCGGGCACCTGCCTGCGCACCCACCCCGCTCCTCTCCGGTGCCGAATACACTCGCTGGTGCGTGTGTGTGTGCAGGTGCTCACGATCCCCCCACCCCTTACCTCCGCGGCGGCGCCTGGGGAGCCGCGGGCACACCGCCGCCGCGGGCAGGGATGACCTTGCGGAGAAATCCATCATCCGGGCAGGAAAACAAGCCCTTCCTCGGGGTGTGCGGCGGCGGCAGGAGGGCGGGAGCCAGGAGGGCTCCACTCGAGCGGCCCTTCCCGCCGCGGGGACAGGAGGGAGGCGGTTCGTGCCCACTACAAGAGGCTCGGGCAGCCCGGCCCCCGGCAGGCTCCGCCGCCGCCCGGGCAGACGCGGCTCCCGGTCCCGGCCGGCTCGGGGAGCCGGGCTCCCCCCGCGGCCGCAGGGAGAGCGGGGCAGCTCCCGCGGGCAGCCCCCAGCCGGCGGGGAGGGCACCGCGGCACCCCCCGGCCGCGCTCAGAGCCCGCACCCCGCCCCGAGCCCTCCCAAGCGCGGAGGGCGCGGGCACGTACCTGCTTCCAGGGAGACATTTCCCGCTGACGCCAGCCCCACCCCAGGCCTCGCCTGGCTTTTATAACCCGGGAGCTGCCGGCTCCCGTGCTGCAGCAGGGGCTGGGCAGGGGGCCCTGGGCAGCCCCCCGGGAGGGTTCGGCAATCCCCCCAGAGCGCCGGGCTCCCTCTGCGTTGTCGCCTCTGCCAGCCGCTTCTCTGCAGCTGCTAAGCCAAAACTACGAACTTGAGCTGCTTCACGGCAGAGGAGCTAGAACCTCACATCCCAAATCCACCAATTCCGTCCACCTGTGTTGGTCTTGCGTGTGTCCGCAGCCAGCCGGCGAGGCACGTCCCGAGCCCTCTGCCTGCCGGGTGGTACAGGTTTGCGTGGGGAATTGCAGTGTATGCAAATGTTCAGCATCAGTTCTTGTCACACTTTCAATTCGGATTGTTGGTTTTGATAGGCAAATGTGGCTTCCTGTATGAAGCACTGCCCTATTTGGCTAAAAAAAAAAAAAAAAAAAAAAGTAGATCCAAGCAGCAAAAGATATTTTGGCTTGGAACTCTTATTATCTGGAAATCTTTGATGTAATTTCGGTTTATTCCCACCACAGTGGAATTTTATCTCTCCCTGCTGCAGTCACAGGAAATGGTTCTGCAGTGCCCGGAGAGTGAAGTCAAGTACAGGTTTTCAACTGAGAAGATTTTAACTCTTCTGCCATCCTTTAGGGATAAATAGGAGAAGGATTTCAAAGAGCTACAGGACAAGATGTGAGATTTCTATTGCAATATGGAAAAGGTTGAGGGGGGAAGAAGAACAGTTGACTAGGGGACCTAATAATTTTTATCTCTAATCCTCATAGATATCAATGGATTATATTTCCTTGATCCATATGCATGGACCCATGTTTTACTCACTACTTTGCCAAACATCCTCTAGCTCAGTTATTGATCCTAAATCTCTTCAACTCATGGGTTAAGTGATTATGAAAAACGTCTTACATTTCCTACTATGGCATATGTAATTTCTTGCCTAACAGTGGCCACTAGGATCAGCACATATTTATGTAATAGCCTTGAGTGTGGCTTTCTGGCAGTTATCTAATACGGAAAATTTAAGAGCCATTTTCAGTATTCACCAACAATAACCACTTTTTCACATGTGCCAAAACCAAATCAGCAGAAGAGCCTGAACATCCCAAGAATGAGGGAACTTCACTGGAAGGAGAGGAGAGTGGAGAGAGGAAAAGATTTATAGCACTAGGGCATCCAAGGCTTCCTAGTAGCTCTTTACTTTGTTCTCTTCACAATCTTGCTGGGTTTTTTTTGTTGTTGTTCTGGAGGGCTGAATAGAGCCTGGTCCTTACGCTGTTCGTGTCTGAATCTGGAAGACCAGGTTGGCAAACAGTCAGCATTCAACTCCTTTTCATTATTCTGCTAAATGACCTATTTTTAAAGAAATATTGCTAAACTTCCTAGAATTAATCCTGCTAACATTGACATGGAACTTCCCCTTTTTTGATAAAGAAGGAGAAAGGCTAGATGATGCAATTTCCTATTGTCAGCAATTGTACTTTTATGAAGAGGTAGCCATCAGTGCTTACAGACCTTGCTGCTGCAAGGGCTTTGTGGGACCTCAGGGGCTGCTCAGCAAGGGACAATTACAGTTAGTATGGTTTTTGTATACTTTCCTGAACATGAGATTCCTTATCTGGATTCTTAAGAGAGACCCCTTCTGTTAATAATGCACCCTTTCCTGAGATATAAAATCACAGTTTTGGCATTCAGTTAATTAATTCTACAAGCTAGCCAAGCTTCTGGTGTAGCTTTAATGTAGCTTTAACACCCTACAGCTATCTTTTCCTTTCTTCATCTTTCCAGTGATGTCCAAGTCACTGAAAAGTATTAAGGCTATTCCTTTCAACAGCAACCTTCCCAGGAAGAAACAACTTGCCAGAGAAAGGTGAGGTTCAGACTTGTTTCCAGGCAGACCTTATTTGTCTCTGAAACCATTTTCTAATTTCAGCTGCTTTAGTATTTACAGCTAATGCTTTGCTCTTCTGTGGAAAACAACTTTGAAATTAACTGAAGTGGAAACATGGTAGGATTTTCAAGTGCTTGTAAGAGAGGTGATTGACAATCCAGCCTTGACAGTCACAGCAATAAGAGTTATATAGATTCAGCTTGAAAGACGGGGAAGTTTTTTTCTTTTCTATTTTAGGGTTATTATTTTAGGGTTGTGAAGCACCTTTAGAGCACGTGGAGGACTCAGTCCCAGAACTTGTGAGAAAGGAACAACCCTCATTCTGAGGCAAAAAAGGAATTGGGAGCATTTTTCTCCAAGCACCTCCCTGCCCATGCATGTCAAAGGTGCTGCCCAAACGTTTTCCTGCTGTGTTCAGGTACAACTTTCTTCTGTCTTTACAGCATTACTGAAAATCCCCATGCTGCTCTCAGCAGTCATGTTTGAGCACAGGGTCTACTTATTGTCTGATGGACAAGGAAATCTGAGAGGAAAGAAGACAATAATATGACTGAAATACAGCTCAACTAATAATTTTTTCCCATGCCCAATAAGGCATGGATGCTTTAGTTTCCAAATGCAGTGATGATCTGGGAAAGCTGAGGAGAGATATTGAAGAGACTCAGATCACTGCAGAAGTTGGTTAAGGTGATGCACTCAGGGTATGGCCACTTTGTTTATGAACTGTTCTCATGTACTTGTTTTTTCCCCTATGTCCTTCACTCTTTGCTGAACCACGGTCTCCCATGGAAGACCAAATTTGTGAATATAAACATTTAACATTTATACTTTTGTGAAGACACTTGCAACTTTTCTTCCCATTAATGTGAAAAACAAGTGAATGACTGGGTGAATATGTTTCTTTGGGACTGAGCGCTGAGCCAAAAAAGGTGCAAATCCTGTGGTATGATAGTTGCAGTTGACAGCTGTATCATTAGGGACAAATGTATCAGGGAAGAAAACCATACCATACACAAGATGACTTGAGGCATGTGTTTTGTGACCATGCATTTTCTATATAGCCAGCAGAGCAGAGTAAATACTCATTCCACATGTTACACAGCATCTCCCTCTCTTAACCTCTCACATACCTAATGGGCTGTACTGGGCATCTCACAAATGGATGCACTGTTTAGCCACAGTAATAAGCCTCCTGGATCATTAGACTGGGATTGATAACACAGTTTATGGCTAGAAACTGTAGGTTCTGTTGGTCATAGTTCCCTTAAGAATGTTTCCCTTAAACATTATTGTCTTTATAAAAGTACTAATAAAAGGGATATAAAGAATACTGCATGGATCAAATAATGTGCCATTGTGAGTGAACTCAGTATTTGGAGTGTTTTGCTGTTTCACGGTTGTTCTAAAACCCCAGGAATCCATAAGCTAGCTGCTTGTGCCTCGCGCATCTATGCCAAATTTCAGTTAAAAATATGTAAGGAAGTGAATTTTTACAGCATTGTGAAAATGTCTTTGAACCTCACCATGCACCTCTTGCCAGCTTTTGCTTCTGACTGCTGTAAAGGTCCTCATAGGGACCTTAAACCACCTTAATACATACAGGAGGGACAGTACAGAAAGGCATAGGCAATCCTGGAGGCTCTTGGAGTGCATCAACTTCTTCACTCAAGTGATAGAGAAGCCAAAGAGAAGAGGTGTTCAGTGGACTTCATATTTGCCAACATGGAGAGGCTCACTGAGGATGTGAAAGTGAAAGGCAGCAGTGACAGTGCGATGGTGGAGTTTGGGATCCTGAAGGGAGACAGGAGAGTAAAAAGCAAGCTCACAACCCTGGATGTCAGGAGAGCACACTTTGGCTTTGCCAAGGGTCTGGTTGCTAGAGTCCCATAAAATAAAGCCCTAGAGGGAAGAGGGGCCCAAGAAAGCTGGTTAATATTGAAGCATCACCACCTGCAAGGTCAGGAACAGTCTATTCCAATGAGGAGGAAGTCATGCAGAATTTCTGCATGAATGATTAAGGGGCTCCTGGACAATCTCAGAGACAAAAAGAGATGAAGCAAGGACAGGTAACCTGATACAAATATGGATACATCGCCAGAGCATCCAGGTGAAGTTAAGAAAGATAAAGCCCTACTGGAGTTTAATCTGTCTAGGAATGACAAGACAACAAGAAGGACTTTTATGAACACATAGGTAACAAAAGAAAGGGAAAATGTCGGCCCACTGCTGAATGAGATGGGGGACCTCTTTACACAGGACATAGAAAAGGTGGTAAGAATGCCTTATTCACCTCAGTCTTTATAGCAAGACTGGCCTTCCGAAACCCCAGGTCCCCGAGAACAGGGGAGTTCTGTAACAGGGAAGACATAGCATTGTGGACAAGGATCAGGTTAGACAATACTTGAGCAGGCTGGACATACACAATCCGTGAACCCTGATGGGATGCACTCACAACTTGTAGACCTGGCTGATGTCATTGCAAGGTTACTCTCAATTATGGCCAGTCTTCGCGAGTGAAGATCCGGGGAAGGTCTTTACACCTTCCAGCTTGCGCATTGGATTTTTTAGGTGAGACACAGTGTGCGCGGAACTGAGCCCACCCTTTAATCCTAAGGTTCATCTGCTGAGGCCAAGCAAGCTTGGATGGTGGCAGCGAGGTCCTTAGGATGTAGATGGGTTGCCTTTTTAAGGGTTAATGAGCTCCATCAGCCCGGGAGTGGCCCTGACCAGGAATCGAACCCGGGTCTCTGTGGTGACAGCGCCGCACCCTTACCACTAGACCACCAGGGGCTCCACTCTCAATTATCCTCAAATGATTATGGCAACAAGGACAAGTAGGTCGTGTCTGGTGGCACAGAGTCTAGTTGGAGACCTGTAACCAGTGGTGTTCCCCAAGAGCTGATACTGGGTCCAGTCTTTGTTCAAGGTGTTCATCAATAAATTGGATGAAGAGACAGAACCCCTTGTCAGCAATTTTGCTGATGACGCAAAGCTGGGAGGAATGGCTGATACCTCAGGAGGGCTGTGCAGCCCTTCAGAAGGACCTCGGCAGCTTGGAGAGATGGGCAGAGAAGAAATCTGCCAGTTCAACAAAGGCAAATGCAGGGCCCAGAACCTGGGGAAGAATAAACCCATGCACCAGGACAGGCTGGGGACTGACCTGCTAGAAAGCAGGTCAGCAGCAAAGGACCAGGGGGGTCCTGGTGGACAACAAGCTGTCCATGAACCAGCTGTGCCCTGGTGGCCAAGAAGGCCAATAGTATCCTGGGATGCATTAGGAAGAGCACTGCCAGCATGTTGAGGGAGGTGATCCTGCCCCTCTGCTCAGCCCTGGTGAGGCCTTACCTGGAGTTCTGTGTCCAGTTCTGGGCTCCCCAAGACTTAAGAGACATGGAGCTCCTGGAGTGGGTCCCATGGAGGGCAATAAATATGATGAGGGGACTGGAGCATCTCTCCCAGGGAAGGCTGAGTGTGTTGGGCCTGTTCAGCTT